TAAAAAAAACTTGTGAAACTTGCAATGTCTAATGATTTCTGACGAATTGTTGGTGATCATACACATTATATAAAGCTACATCATACAAGGTCAGATTCAGATCATGATAAAATCCCTAATTGGCTAATTCTAAGCAGGGATGTAAAACTCCAAGAGTCACAAATTTGTAAAACACGCTAAGAAAGTAAAGTATAATTAACGCAGAGCGCAAAAATCAAAACAAATGAAGTAGATCATCGTCCTCCGTGAAGCTATAGACTGCCGAGAGAGTGAGCCTGTCGAAAAAAATGGTTTGTGGACTAAGTAACTTCATAGTAGAAGAACCAAACACAGAGAGAAGAATTCTAAGAAGAGAGCTAAAGTTTTAGTTTTTACCTAAAGACAACCATGATGAAGAGAAAGATGTAGAACCCGAGCTTGGTAAACCGGAACTTCTTTTCAAAGCTAATACCACGGAACACTTCAGTGACATCGATAAGATGTCGTCGTTCATTGTATCTGAAACAATGTAGGGCGGTTGTTTTAGTTTCCACACTTGACAAATCAAGAATCAGTGATGATATGGATCGAGAGAGAGATATACTTACAACATTGCGTGATAGCATGTTACAGGGAGAGCCACGAGAAAAAAGACCCAATGCCATGTGAGCAGGAAGAGAATGCAGAGTAATCCTTGGAGGATAAACTCAGGTATTACCAATCGGTTGATACGAGAACTTGTCTCGAAAGGGTTCAAGTAATCAGCTTCTAAATCCGTTAAACAGATAACCTACATAATCAAACAAAGAAAGGAAATTGAGCTCACACATCGGTTCATAAAATTGAGCTCCCAACACAATTCCAACAAACAAAAAGGTAAACAGTAATTGATATATTATCTCATTAAATCACATCTTGTCCCTGTAACCGCAATCAAATCGGCACTACAAAGAGACACAAAACCCACAAAAACTAAAAAAACAAAACTGATCTATATAACTTGCAATTCATCAACTTTACAGGGTCTGATGAAGTATCATTCTTTTATAAGCAAATCACATTTAAGTAGAATTCTGAGTTATAAGCAAAAAAAAAAAAAGGCAAATTGAACAATGAAACCTCAATAGGCCTAAATTCTTTTGCAGTGTTTCTCAATTTGTGGAATGTTTTTTAGTACAAAAGTCGATGAACACGAGGGGAAAAAATAATTCCGTTTCTAAGTACTCTGAAAATTTCTGTATCCGGGTTTAACTATTTCGACCAAAGGCGTAAAGCTAGCTAAGGTTTTGGTAAGAAGTAGTGAACAATTCCGACACTGACGATTTGAAGAGTAGAAACCCCTTAATGACAGATCTCGATTTAAGAATCTCACTTCTTATATTGAAAATTGAAAGGGGGAAAAAGTGGATATTACATACCTGATAGAAGACGGAAGCGACGAGGGCTAAGCTGATGAAGAAGGAGAGAATCCATAAGAACAAATCCCAACCCATTTTGTTTCTTCAAAGAATCGAGACGATTCTCAAGTACTCATTCTTATGCAACTC